TTTGCGGACCCGTACAGTTCTTCGAATAATACTTTGTTACACGTCAATAAAAAAATAAAACAAAAAAAAAATGAAGCAAGACAAGAGACAAAAACGCTATGAAAGGCACTAACTGTCACAACTTTACTGAAAGATTAATCGTTCCAAGCCATCAAACATTACATCATCTCTCCAAGGAAAGATAACAATGAAACGGATGGCAACTAACGACGTTTCAGTTTCCGAGAATCTAGTGGCAAAGATATTTGGAGTTTCAATTACCAAACTGTTTTTCATTAATGTTGCTTCTGTGCATTTCCCTTGAAGAATACCAAACAGAATTTCGAGGAAGAGTGTGATCTTCTACGAGTTAATTGAAACACATCAGAACTTCGCAGTAATGCACGAATCAATTCAAAACTTCAACGTTCCTCAAGAAATTTGACGGTTTGAAACCCCCCCCCAGACCCCTTCCCTTCGAGGGCAATACGTTCAATGTGCCTATCCCTCAAAAATAGGGAGAAATGAAAATGAAAGCAATTCTATGCAAGACGGCGCGAAAAATAATTGGCAAATTTCGAATAGCTACTTTAACAAAGACTGGGTTTTGGGCTTTAAAATGCATTTCGACATTTCCTTTTGTACATACATGTAAATAATACTTGTGAGTGCTATGTAATTAGTGTGAGAGACGTCAAATGTGAATTTCCTTGTAGGAATACTTAAACCAAGTACTCCTACAAGTTTTGGGGAACTTGGAATCACTTGAAAGGCTAGGTTACCATTATTATTTAGTATTGGCCATCGTTAAGGACAGGTGCAACCAATTACAAGCAACAGCAAAGGGCAATATCAATAACTCGGATTGCCAGGCTATCTGCATAAGTGAGACTACCAGAAACGAACGACTATACCGGTTATAATGCTAGCGACTAACAAGGCATAGAGTTAACTGGAACTGCTCGGTGTGTCACTTAAGTACATACTACTTTCACGGCTGAATTGTAAATGCAGGCAAACAGCTAACTTATAACTAAGACCTCTAGACCAATGCCAACAAATATCAATACAGTACATTTTTGATCATATACAATGCGTGTACTTGAGTGCCAACCGTTTTTCTACAATTTAGAAAAACGAAATTTAAACTTCGATTTTCAATTTTCAACTTTCAATTTCCAAGAAAACAAAAATTGAAAATTAAACATCCAATTTCAATTTTCAATCTACAAGAAAAACGGAAATTAAAATTTGATACCAATTTTCAATTTTCAATTTTTAATTTTCACGCAAAATGGAAATTGAAATTCGGATGCCAAAATTATTGGTTTTCGTTGTCTTCCTGTCTTTGTTCGTTCCAGGCTTCTCTGACTTACATGTACCGGAAGTAAGAAACACTCGAAAAATTAGAAAATTAAACAAGACTTACCTGGAAGTCGAAGTTTGATTGGGATTCTTTTACGTCATCTTGGGCCTGAGGGATCAGGTGAGATTGCAGCGGGTATGCGTACTTCAGTTTGCAAAGAGTATGGCCAGTATTTATCATTACAAGTTAACATAGGGAGGGCCAATACCTGGGTGGGCACCTGATCCCTCAAGCCCAAGATGACGTAGAAGAATCCCAATCAAACTTCGACTTCCAGGTAAGTCTTGTTTAATTTTCTAATTCTTCTACGTCATCTGCTTGAGGGATCATGTGACATTTTGAAGCCATGATAAATACAGGCTAGAGATATCAATGCAACAATAAGCTCTTTAATCACAACCCAACCAGTGTAAGTGTATCTACATGTAACCTTTACAAAGACAAAAAGAAAAACTTAGGTAACTGTAGACGTTTGACAGACAAGTCAACCAGCAATATCCTGGCTTAAGTGTTACAAATAGCTTCAGAAAAATTATTTTTCTTTTGAATAGGTACACTATAGTGCCTAGCAAAGGTGCGTTCTGAGGACCATCCCCCAGTGCTAAGTATGTCCATCATGGGCACTCCTGCTCGTTTAGCTGCGGAAGAGGAGGCAGCTCGAGTGCTATGAGCACCAAATTTAGATATGTCAACTCCAGCTCGTTGGAGCATAAGCTTTATCCAACGGCTAATAGTACTAGCACTTACAGCATGATGAGGTTTCTGATAAGTCAAAAACAACTTGGTTTCTTGTTCTCTAAATAACTGTGTTCTTACAAGATAATGTGACAATGTTTTTACAACACAAATTTTAGGATTCTCAGGATAAGCACAAAGTTCCATGATCGGAGACTTGACAGATGGCCTACTTTGTTTTAATAGGTCAAATTTAAATGTAATCCTGTCATTTTCTTGCGTCATGCAGTCTAGATCTAGCTTGTGCAAAGATTGCACCCTCTGTGCTGTTACTAAAGCTACTAAAGTAGTAGTTTTTAAAGATAGCTCTTTAAGTGAGAGTTCCTTATTGTCTTTCCATTGTCTAAAATAATCTAATACAACTTTAACATCCCAAACAATAGTATAACGAGACTGTGTTGGTCTGGAAATGTAGACCCCTCTCATGAACCGACAAATAAGAGGATGGTTTCCAACAGGACATGTCCTACCACAATCGAGTGAGGACAAAGCAGAACGAGCAGTGTTAATTGAACTATATCCAAGCCCCGACTCATACAAGAGTGTCAGAAACTTCAGAACATTGTTTACAGATATGTCGTGTGAATCAATGTTCCTTTCACTGCAAAATTTTGTCCACTTTTTGAGATAGATGCCATACTGGTTCCTGGTAGATTCTCTCCATGACTGCAACATGATTCCTCTTGCTTCTTCCGGAATTCCTTTTGCCTCGAAGCTATCCCGGATACAAGACATGCCATCAGCTGCATTTTCGTCCATACCGGGTGGCTTTTCTGGGGCAATCTTAGCAGGTTCTCCTTCCTCGGTAGCAGTCTTGGCCGTTGAATCAACATGGACATCAACCTGGGTCTGAGTGGGCCACATAGGAACAATTATCACACCCTCTGCCTTGTCTGCGGTGATCTTCTGTAAGCATCTATGAATAAGGGAAAAAGGTGGAAATGCATAAAAGGGCTTCCTGTCCCATATTATTGAAAATGCATCCACAGCAGTTGCATCTGGATCAGGTTTCCTTGATACATAAGTGCAAACCTGTTTGTTCAATCTAGAGGCAAACAAGTCAATCTCGAAGGGTCCCCATAACAGGGACAGCTTCTGGAAAATATCCTGGTGCAACATCCACTCAGTTCGATCATTGAACACTCTAGATTCTCTGTCAGCTAGCATATCTTGCTTCCCAGGCAAATGGGCTGAACTTAGAAAATTATTTCTTTCCAAGGCAAATTGCCAAATCTTCTTTACAATGATGTTACAAGCCCTGGATTTACTGCCACCCATATTATTAATGTAACAAACAGTGGTTGTGTTATCCGACAAGATGCGTAAGTGCTTATTTCCAACATTGTCGCACGGTGAACACAATGCAAAGAAGACTGCTTGAAGTTCTAGCTCATTTATATCCTTCTCTGCCTCAGCAGGGGACCACCGACCCCCCGTAGTGTGGTGTTCTCTCACTGCCCCCTACCCTTGTTTTGATGCATCTGTAGTTATCACAATGTCAGGGTTTGGTGGTGAGATTTTCTTTTCAGAGTGCTGAATATTATTGTAGGTCAGATTTAGCTCAGGCACTCAGCTCCATCCGTGCATCAAAATTACCTTGGTTTGTTTCAGAGCATCAATTTTTTCATTCTCCAGTGTTCGGTAGAAAAGCATGCACAGTTCTACTGCAGGGGCACTGCTAACCATGAGACCAATAACCTGTGCAACATCTCTGATGGTAGGGTGTTGGGTGTTGAGAAGTTTTGTGCATGCCTCCCCTAAGTGGTTGGCCTTACTTGGTGTAAGTTGAACTGTCATATCAATAGAATTAATGACAAACCCTAAGAATGTCAATACTCTCTTTGGTAGGAATACTGACTTGTCAGGGTGGATGATGAATCCCAAATCCTGTAAAAGTGCAGCTGTCTTTTTAACACTTTAGCAGCATTCCTGTTCCGTGTCTCCTTGTAAGTAGGAGTCATCTATATAAGGGACTATCTCATCTCCTCTCTGTCTTAGGCTAGCATAGACAGGCTTTAACAACTTAGTAAACAAACATGGACAGCAAGCCAGCCCATTGGGGAAGCAGGTATACTGAAGGAATTTGCCCTTCCACTGAAACCGTAAGTATTTCCGGTGTTCAGGGGCGATAGGTACTGAATAGTAGGCATCTTTAATGTCTATAGATGCCATAAAACAATTGGGTGTTACCATGTTAATGACTGACAGTATGCTTTCCATTTTGAAATGATGATATTCAACATTTTCGTTGAACTCTTTCAAATTGAGTATTAATCGGTAAGTGCCATCTTTTTTGCGTCTAGTGAATATTGGGGATATGAATTCCCCTTTGCAATGAGTAGTCTCCTCAAGAACTCCTTTCTCACAGAGTCTGAGAATTTCAGCATCAATAATATTCTCTTCTATGCTGTTGAATCTTTGTACTCTTACATTATGCTGGTCACATGAGGATCCTTGCTTAAACTCAATGTGACAGTGTTGAAATGTGTCAAGAATAAAGGCATCAGAGGTCAACTTCTCCCAGTTATGTGCAAAATCTTTCAGTCTACCTGCTTTGAATTGGGTAGTACTTATAAGGGGAAAACAGTCCCCTTGAAAATAGACTATGTTCGAGTTTCTTACCTCATTTGTGGTTTGCACATTCACTGGAGTTGTCCTCAAGGCTTTGTCTCCTTGCTCTTCCCTTCCCCTTTTTGCGGTTTCTGATATGGGTTTCCGTAGTGGGATGAGCGTTTTCCTAAAAAAAAGGATGCTGTGTAAAGCCTTGTCGCTGAGTCTGAGGTCGTTGGCCACGACCTCTAAATTTGTTCCAGTCACCACTTTTGTAGTGACGCTGCCTTGGGTATGGACTTTGTTGAACCATAGCCTTTCGTATAACTTTGTTTGTCTTCTCGATTTCCTCTAGTCGCTTTGAGGTGTCGCCACCAAAGAGGAATTGGTTGATGGGCACTGATGAAGAGAAGAGTGACATGTAGTCCTTTTTCAAGACAGGTTTTATACACTCTCTGCGTCTGGCATTGACCTCATAGCTGGCAAAACTCATTGTTTCAATTGACTCCATGCCATCATTGATAAGAGTGTCCAGGAGTACCCGTCGGATCCGCTCCGCAAAATATCCGCTCTGCAGACTAAAGTTGAGCTGGCTGGGAATCTTAGCAATAAAAAGAATCTTGCTGAGAATTTAGCTTATCGAGAGCTAGCTAGCTGGAAAATTTTTTTTTGGTGTTCAAATAGCTTACATTGTGGTTTTACAAATCAGTTCTGGCTGGAAATTACATTCCGGATGCGATCACTGACTGAAGTGTGTCACT